AATGTTTTACTTGTTTGCCCTTTTTTAATCAGAGCTAATCGAATTTGTGGGAAATACCAGTGTTGATTATGTTGTCTGAGAATGTTTTGTCAATTAAGCGTTCTTTTCTTTTCTTTCAATTTCATGTCTTTGTCTGTCTTTGTTTTAGTTCTTTCAATTTACCTTGCCTCGAGGAGCGTGACGACACTTAAAAGAAAATTTATCATCACCGAAATCAACCTAATCTAGTGTTATCTGGCCACAGATGATAAATGAAATATTTATTCTCCATTCCATTTAAGTTTAACAGATTACAACTATTCCAGCAACTTCATTTTGCTTATCTTTCTTTGCTTTTCTTCCCTGCTATAGTTGTTTCAAAATGCATAAGATGTGAAATCTATCTTTATCTTCTGTATTCAGTACATACACGGACTAGCTGCTGGAGGAATTCATTAGTTTTGTGCCTAATTTTAAGTTCTTAAAAAAGCTTAACTTAGTTTTTGTCACTACTCTTAAAGGTGCGGCGCCAATGCCTTTAATAATGGCTGCTTCTTGCTGATGTTGCGATTGGTTATCTTAAGAACTAAACTGTTGCATCAACTATTTTTATAATGTTCAGTGCACAGTTGGTCAAAGCATACCAAACGGCCAATGTTCTCTTTGAGGTTTTGAGAGCAGTCAATCAGACTCCAGCAGTGGAAGTTGATCGCGAGGTAAACATGAATTATTTATTTGTTATGATTTACATGCTTTCAATAAATATTTTCAGTGCTATCATCCTTGATAAAAAAGGTTAAGTTTATTTTGAAAGTAATTTTCAGTGCTATCATCCTTGAACTGATACTTGTCTTGAAATGTTAGGATGTAATATTTTAAGTCTTGTGTACTAACCTGTCTTAATCATTGTTTGTAGGGTGCTCTGAAAGAGTTAACAACAGATTTGGCTAGAGCAAAGAAAGGAAAGCCCCCATTGAAGAGTCCAAAGAGAGGATTGAGAATTTTGATGAAGAAGCTCATGAAGGCAATAGTGGGGAAGAAGCAAAACTTAGATAGCTTCGTGGCCTTTTCTGTATTGTAGTGTTTTATAGTGTATTAAGAATAAATAGTATGTAGTCTACGTTTATTGTGTACGGATTAAATGTTTCATAATGAAATTATAATTTTAATTTCATAGTCTTAAAATATTTGAGCATAAAATATATGATGTTTCTTCCTACTTTTGTTGGTCAATGTTAAAAATAGAAAAAAAAAAAATGAGATNAGGGCTACGGAGGCAGGCAAGCCACCACAAAAATAAATAAATAAATCCTTTTTTGCAACGGTCAATGACCGTTGCGAAAGACCTTCCACTTTACGGCAACATCAAAGGCCACAACATACGCCTGACCGCTGCAAAAGACCTATGGCAACATTTTTCGCCCGTTGCAAAAGGCAGTTTCTGGTGTAGTGTATCAACTAACACTTATCAAAAAAGCTGAAATTTAGGATCACTTGCATTAACAAGACACATCAATCTTGATTATGTAATCTCAAAATTATGCTTATTATTTAAAATTTGAGTAGTAATTTCACAAATTTGAGATGACGAACACCATTCAATCATTTAGTATATGTATCAAATCTATTAGATACAAATAATATTTAGATGGTTAACGTGGGGGATTATGCCCCCGTTTGGCATCCATTTTTTTTTCTCTTTTTTCATTTCAATCACACATTCTATCAATAAAATAATATTACACATAAACCCAAAAATTCTCATTACTTTTTAACCACACATTTTTCTATCAATCACTATTCTAAAATTTATTTTTGCTCCAAAATGCGTGTCAANATTTTTTTTTCATTCTCATTCTCATTCTTTTTCTCTTTCTTCATTTCAACCACACATTCTATCAATAAAATAATATTACACATAAACCTAAAAATTCTCCTTACTTTTTAACCACACATTCTTCCATCAATTACTATTCAAAAACACATTCTTTCACAAAAATGGGTGTCAAACATATATGTCCCATTTATCACTCTGGTTAATTTTCAGAAATGTAAGGAATCCAATCCCTATTTTACCTAGTGATAATTAATTTTCAATAAAGAAAACAAATAAGATATAGGAATTTATTAAATTGAAGAATCTTTAGGTACTTTGTTGAATGTTTCTTTAAATTTTTAATTTTGCATCATTATTGATCTAATGATGGTGCAACTGGTCATGCCAAACAACAATACTTGCAATAATTGAATTTCTGGTTCAATATAATGTTTGTTTCAAGTGTACCATACATTTTAAAAACTTAGTACGTTTCTATTTAATTTAGTAGGAATTAAATTACTATCAATAGTAAAAATTTTATTCTCCCACATATCACACTATTGACTCTTATATAATATTAAAATAATATTTTTTTGGAACATTGCTATATGCTTGCTTGTGATTAGTCACGAGTAATAGAACAATATTTTTCTAAAATATTGATACATTTAAATTAATCAAAATATTCTTCTAAAATATTAATATATATAAATTTGTATTTTTTAAGGAACACAATACGGTACTCTGCAAGAATACTAATATGTATTATTTTCGCTTCTTCTGGAGCAACATATAATTATTTATAGAACATTTATATAAGGTGAGTTGTGTTTTTCTAGATTATCAACATCTTACTTATTTAGTACAAATATAATTTCTAGTTGTGTTTTTTTCAGGAGCACAAATTAAATCAAAATATTTAACTAATCTAAAAATTTACAAATATATAATAGGAATATAAAGATTTTAAAAGAATATAATTGAATTAAAAACCTTGAATAATTGACAAATCTCATATTCTTCAAAGATATATTTTCTAAAAAATTTCGTTTATAGTCCTTGAAAATTTGCTACCATTCACAT